TTTGTGTAATGAGTGCTTCCACACCGAACGCGAATCTGCTGCGGCGAAAAAACGACTTTTATTTTTTTCGCTTCGATGTCGATTTTTGAGGCGAAAAGAAAAGGCTTCAGCCAATCATATACAGGGAAACAAAGGTGACGTGACCGCAGCAATGACGGACGGACCTTCTGATTGCTTGTGTGTCGAGTCTGTGAATGAATATCTGAAACAAGGACTGGTGGGACGTTGTGCTCGTTCGTTCGTATCGAGCCCAACCGGGTGTTTACAAGGCTTTTCAGTCCATTTGAGCCTTCAATACGTTTACTAAAAGTGTTTATTTGATTGCATGTAATGTTGAAACTGTGTGTGAATGGCCCCTGTGAATGGGACAGCTCACCTTCTGCCATATGTTTCTAGCTCCGGTAGTGGGTGCCCCAAACCTTCTTTTCTGCTTTTAAATAAATAAAAAAGCTTGTCTTCACTGGATGATAATGATAGTGATGAAGAAGCTATGTGCCACGTCCCGCAAGTCATAGCACTGTACCGCATTTTTTTGTCTGCATCCTTTTATTTAATCGTCCTTTAAAAACAATTCTACAATTTAAAAAATGTAATAAGAAAACATAGAAAATGCACAGCAACAGACGTTAATGGAGCCATCACAAACAAACAAACTCTTCGTGGAGAGAGTGTTTGCTCTGATGAATGCTGCCGTGGACAAGGACCAGGCAACTGTGGACCTAAAGTGAACTGGTGAAAGTGAGCTCCACCTGCCAGTAGTTACTGCGAGTTACTGACATGCACATAAATTAAAAAAGAAGGTCCAATCGAAGCTGCCAGATCATCAGACAAACAATATAAATTCAAAATGCACTGATCGAATCCGGTAAGAACGCATTCATCTTTATCTTTCCTAATGGACTTATGTGCTTATTTGAAAATGTGCTATTTAGAGATTGGGATTTTTTTTTTTTATTAAGCCTATTAAAGCATCATGTTAACATCACTTCAAAAAGACATCTAATATAAAATCTATATTTATTCACCTATAGGCTATAATAATAAGTATAGAGTAGCCTACGTTTTCTGATGAAAATCAGGTCTGCTTTCATATCGGCGCGAATGTTTTGGAATGTTGAAGTTCTGAACGTCGCAAATTCGCGTCGCGGCTGATGTGAATGGTTTTGACGCGAAATATTCTCACGCGAACTATTCGCTTTTTCGTTTCGCTTTTCCGTTACGCATCCGGTGTGAAAGGGCCTTTACTGACGAAATGTGGCAGCAGCAGCACAAATATTGATTCATATTGTATCCCAAAAAGGAAACAGATTTGGCAGGTACTATGCTATATAGTATATCAATATCTGGGTCAAGATAAAATATATATGTTTTCTGAGATTACTTTGGATACAATTTATATGAATTTGATTGTTGCTTGTCTCTTTTCCCGAAATATTCATGAAAATTAACCAAAAATTTGATTATTGGCATGGGAATATCAAGATAATGTTGATACGGTTGGGATATCAATATAAAATATAGCAATGCTTTTAATTAATGTTACCACCCACCACTAATCATAACTCCAGAAATCAGAGAGATTATTGCTTTTAAAAATGTTACATATTCAAAAATGTTGTAGTGGAAGAAGTTCTTACACCAATTTCACACACACACAAAAAAAGGAAAATATAAATCCATTGGCCTTCAAGGAGAAAACTTAAACCAACATTCATTCAAAGCACCAAAAATAAGGGTAACTCCATAAACCACCACAACCATAAAGTTTTAAGTCAAGGATTCCTGTGAGTCATAGAACAGGATCTCTGAACCACATCAGTGGTAATCAGACTCCTGTGCAGAGCAGCGGACACCTGATTCTCTGAGGCACTGGCGGAGCAAAACTACAGACTGCTGATGTCCCTGTGATAAATGCATTCAGGGACTTCTACTCACAGCCCCACTGCTTACAATGGCCCTCAGTCTACTTTAGTGCAGCAAGGTGGTTTTGATTCCAAGATGGGGCAGCACTCATTGTTAAACCACAAACGAGAGCAAAAAAAAATCTTGTTAAAGGAGACATAGACAGTGATTATTGGTAAATCTTCGTTATTACAAAAAGCTTATGCTACAGAACATTACTTGATAAGACCTTCAGGTACGTTTAGGTAGGTTTAAGGATCCCAGAATGCACTCAAAAGTGACTCAGCAGCAAATGGGGCAAATTACATAATGAAAACTAGCCTACTTTTTGAAAGAGCTTCTCCGTTCCAGCCTTTACAAAACAAATGGCAGAGCGCCCCGCATAAAACTACAGGCGACATGTTGATGTTAATAATCTGGTTCAACAAAAAAGAGTGTAAAGCCCACCATAAAGTTCCTCAATCATCACTGACGAGACACAAAAATCCAGTGTGCCCATAGCCATGAATTCTGTTTTCAAAGCCAGTCGTGACAAAAATATGCAGGTCAGCTTTTCAGAGGATAACAGAGGTATGCGACCAGAGGGGAACAATCATCTCTCAAACCTGTGCATATTTCACAAAAGCCAAAATAAACCCACTCAGCAGCACCATCTCATTTGGATTCTTGATATAATTTGAGAGTAAACCATTTCCTTTTTAATATTTTGATAAATTTTACAAAATATTATTTACAGTGTGTCTTTTTGTGTGCTTTTCAAGTCTTCTTTAGTCTTTAAATACTCTCAATTTAGTATTTACATGCTGTCTGAGATGTGACTTTCTGTGCGAACTATGACGGCGTAAATATTGGAGCATAAGGCACTGGCAACAACAAGTTTACAAAGAGTGTCTCTTTTTTTTTCGCAACTTTTTGGGAAGTAAAAAGTACCTCTTCAGAGCTACAACACACCAACATGTGAGAAACCGTGATGTCAGCAATAGATACTAACAGTTGATTTTACCGCTACTCTCACATGAAATGCATAGCGTATATATCGACAGAAACATTAGTGGAACTCTTGTCTGTTTTACGCTCTACTATAGATGCTTCATCAGATTTGAGATTAAACATGGTGCAAGTGCGTGCCGAACCGTGGGTGGAAAATGATACGGTTCGATTTTTTACCGACAACCATTAAATCCCCAATTTGCATGTCTCAAAATGTCTCATAAGCCATTAAAATACCCACAATGGTGAAGCACTAATCGTAACCACCATAAACCTGTCCTCCATAGACAAAACAAAGTGAAAACTGGAGGCGGCCAATGCAAACCAGCACAGATTCGGCTACAAGAATTGATGAAAAATGAAATAAAATTTTCTTTTATTTCTAGAAAATATTCACATGATTAAAATCGCACCGTAATGACACTCTTTACATTGTCGTCTTCTCTGCCCTGGCTCGGCAGAACTGCGGATCATACACACAAGTCTTGTACAGGACCATTCAGCACATATAGGCATCTAAAGATTTGTATACGCTCAGTTTCTCTTTACGATCGGTTTCTCTATAAGGTAGATGTAGAAGTCAGGCCACTCAACCGAGGTAACGTAACGTTGTCAATCTGCGTTCAGTGACGCTGCTGACGTAAGACGCTGCTGACGTGTTATCAGTGCGCCTGAGCTTCGTTTACAGTCTGAAGGAGACGCACGCTGTAAACAAAACAATCTTCACAAGCATGTCTAAGGATTTCGACACAGAGGACGACTTGCATTTTTTTTGTCCAGGCATATTTATTTGAACCCAAATACACGGACACACCAGATACACGTCAGTAGCGTCTTACGTCATCAGCGTCACTGCGGACTCATGAGCACGAATTGACAACAGAACCGGAAAACAATATAATGCCGAATAAAGTTGTACTTTTTGTTATTTTTGGACCAAAATGTATTTTTGATGCTTCAAAAAATTCTAACTAACACACTGATGTCACATGAACTACTTTGATGATGTCTTTATTTCCTTTCTGGACAAGGACAGTATACCGTACATTTTCAATGGAGGGACAGAAAACGGACAGGCTTGGAACAACATGAGGGTGAGTCAATGATATAATTTTCATTTTTGGGTGAACTAACCCTTTAAGTCAAACAAACACATGGCTAAACAACCATATAGTTCAATCACATCATTTCAGACACCTAGCCCCTGATTCATGTATTCTATTAGGATTACATACATTAAGCATTCATAATTTCATTCATTATTTTTGACCAAAAATAACAGCAACAGCCCCAAATTGCATAGGCCAGCTCAGTTTTATTCCCCCTAAAGTTTGAGCTTCATCTCCTCACTGCATCATGCTACATGCGTCATAAAAACCTGGAGTATCAAAACTAACCCAGGTTCAATAAGCTATTCTCTTAAAATGTTACTATTATTACGTCAGAGTTTACATGGTTAAAAATGCAAAAAGTGTTTGCTGAACTGCCCCAAATCCACTTCTATCTTTCTCTGCGACTTATGTCACATTCTGACAGACATCAGTAATAATGAATGACTCAAATCCGCTCATACACCACTGCTCTGCATCTTGTGAATGGCGTGTGATGTACTGTAAACCTTACAAATTGAGACTAACAACAAAGGCACGAAAATCATTGGAATACACACTTGGAAAACGTTGATGACAAACCAATAACGTTGCGCCTTTCATTCTTCTTAAATAGAGAACTGACGTGTAACCGTACAAATCTAACGTTACTTCCAATTGTGCATTTTGTAACATTTCTATGAAGATTTTAGCAATGTTCTTAAGCATTAACTGCCTAGTCAGAGGTTGTAAGGACGCTGCAGATTGTTTGGCCTATCGGAGCTAACATATGGAAGAGCTAACAGACTACAACAAAGTTTCAGCAGTTTATGAGCATGTTTGAAACGACTTGTGTGAACATTTGGACACTAAATAGACACGAGTTTAAATAAGCTAGATAGAAGAAAGTAAGTTTCTTTGAAAGAGTGCCAAAAAGTTCTTGTAACCAACACTTTGAACAAAGCAGAAATAAAGTGGAGCAGACGGGAAAATATAAAGTAACGTTAACGTAATACACACCCAGGAGTTTCTTGACCTCTTCCTCGCTCATGAAGACGTTTACATTCGGCCTATTGTTGTTGTTTATGCCCGGCGCATTGCTCGGGTTGGTGAGGCATCGGGCCCCTTCGAGGAGCAGGAGGAGAAAGAAACCCCCCAGTCTCCACAGTACCGTATGCGGCCAACCCCGGGACACCGCCGACGCCGCGCCTCCACCGGAGCCCCGCGCTGGCACAAACATCACAGCCCACCGTCGCGTCAAAAAGTCTTTGCGATCGAACTGAGCCACGGAACCTCATCCAAAACTTGAGTTACTTCTTCCCGAGGGCGACATACTACTAGGTTTGATGACGGCGCTCTCTGTCGACCCCACTCTCTTCCCCGTATTGTCCCCCTCACCCGCCGCTGATAGCCGTCCAGCTAACTTCTGTTAGCTCGCGCTCAATCTCAGTGAGCGCACGGGCGCGAGCGGGGCCAGTTGGACGGTGTTAAAGCGATGTCTTTCCTCTGGGAGAAAGTCCTTAACTTTTATTTATTAAAATCAAAATTTTCCCTACAAGCTACAAACACTTTCCCAAACAAATAGTCATTAAAAGTGTCCTCCTCCAGCTCTGTCCTTTCATGGTCTTTTCCAACCGCAATCTCAGTTTTCATTGAAGAAAGGGGGGAGGAGGGGGTCATTTACAACTTGCGCGCGTACACAGAGACGTTTACGGGCGCGTTCCTGTGGTGGTGTGTGTTTAATGTAAGACAAACAGGTGACATTATGAATTGCCGTTGGTAATGACATTATGAGCCCAGTTACTATGCTATCCGTTGAACCTGTTTGAGCTCGAATTAATTTTTGTGAAAAATAAAAATGTGCGTTAAACAACAGTAGCCAGTTCAGCTAAATGAAACACATTGTCCCTCCCTTCTATTACAAATAAAATGTAGTACTCAGTAAACAAAATGTAAGTAATATATTAAGAAAGTAGGATACCAAAGGATAGGCTACTACATTTATTATTTAGAAAACCCCTGAATATATGTTCTTGAACAGAATATAGGCCTACCTGAAATGATTCATTATAGCCTATCAAGTATGACTTATAGGCTATATTTTTCTCCAATTAGGCTATATCACTAAAAAGACACATCTTTGGTGGATGTGCATTTCAGTTTGTTAGCAAACAATTAAATCAACAATTTCATTATAGCTTTATTCTCTATCTTTAGGCTATCTGTTTTCTCTCCTTTGCATAGAACATCATATTTTGTAGCTATAATTTGTATATGTTTAAGTCTGTTTTATGTTTTTATTTTACCTTCTGATTCTCTTTCAGTTGTTTTATTACCTTTTTAATTTAGATGTTGTATATTGATATTGGGGGGAAACTGTAATGCCATTGCCAAATCATTTATTTTAAATTGTGAACCTTATGCTTGTGAAAGCACTTTAAGTTGCATTTCATGTATGAAAAGTGGTATACAAATAAATGTATATTATTATTATTATATAATATACATATTTGTTTATATATATAGACGTATTGCGATTTGCACTTCTTGTTAGACGCTATATTCAAATTTCGTTGGTATTGTACTTTGCACAATGACAATAAAGTGTAATCTGATCTAATCTAATGGCATCAATGCATCAACTGCAGTCCAAGCTGTGGTTTAAGTGCTTTCCTAAAAGGCACAATGAGGAGCGGGTAATTTGACATCCGTAACTAGCTAATTCCTGTCACTGCTTACTTGCAAGAGAGGCCTTGAAGTTTAGAGGCCAAGATCCATAACCACTACATATTTCACAAATCCAGACAAACAGTGTCAGGGAACTTTCCCTAATGAAAAAAAGATCCTAAGCTTTTTTCTTTCATATATTAAAAAACAAAACAAAAACAAAATAGTGACATCTTGTGGTAATTCATAGTTTATCTAGCCTGGCTAAAAGTCAAAATCTGTTGTCTGTCTGTGTCTGGATGGCCACAAATCAGTGAAAAACAATACATATTTCTTATGTTTCATATCACTCCCTCCCACCACCACAAGAACTGGGAGAAAACATGTAAAAATTGGAGTTTTAACATTTTATTATTAAAATATTCAACTACAAAAACAGACTATAAACACTATTTACAAGGTAGTTAGACTGTTTAGCTTTACACAAACAGAAACAATGGTGAGACAGTTTTTCCAGTATTTTTTGCAATCTTGCTGTAAGAGAGAACCAGGCTGAAGGTTGAATGAACATTCTGGTAGGTTTTGGATTTGAACAGACAATAATTAATAAAAAAAAATAAAAAATACCCTGAGGGACTTGACGGCCACTACATGTCAATATCTAATTATATTTACATTTGAGGTATGCTAATTGATGCGGGTAACTCCTAAAGCATATGGTCGGAGGTCATCTATAGATCTGGAACTGTAAATGACCAAATGCGTCCATAGGACAATGTAACCAATGGAAGGTGACCAGTGATGCAAGAAAGGGTCAACAATGATGTTAATGCATCCTCATTTGAACTGAGACAGAGAGAAGCAGAGAAGCAATTACTCCCCAATGTTGCATTGATTCAGCCTCCTAAAACAGGAAAAACACTTTCAGTATGTGTGACACACACACACACACACACATATACTGTATATTTGCCCATTTCTATCATAGATAGAAAATATACTCACCACTGTTATTGTTGTTTTTTAGCTCTTCTGTCTAATGAGAGACGGGGAAAAGTTTATTTTTATTTTTATCCGTAGCATTAAAACAGAAATCTATCAGCTCCATGCCATAATTTAAATTGTATAATAAAATCATTGTCTTCCATATATTTGCATCTACAATGTTCTACGTACTTGGAGTTTTCTTAGGCAGCAACGGCTCACAGATCTCTTTAAAACAAACATCCTGCTGAACTTTATATGTCCTTTTGTACCTGAGGGAGAAAGCATACTCAGTAAAAATAGATACAAGTGGACTAAAACAGGACAACAAACATATTCTGACAGGAGTCACTTACAAATAATGGCAAACACCCTCCTCCCATACAGGTACACTCTTAGTTTCGGAGTAAAGGCGAGTACATGGGTGAGGCACACGCTGACAATCTGCACACAACAGGGCAGAGAAAGGAAATATAGTGAAGATCTTATTTCATTATTTCAGGCAAAGCTGCTAAATATTATATTCTTGCAGATTATGTTAAAGATTATATAGACTTTATTTTTGTCTGATTGATGATTTTTAATATTACTAATTTAATATTAAGTGTGGGCATTTTTTATTTCATGGTGACTTTAATTGGGCATTTATTAGAGATTCATCAGTGTGTGTTTGCCTGCTTGTGAATGAACAGATGTGGTCATACTAACATAGCTCACACCGTCTGCCTTTGAAACCAGTGGCACAGTTGCAGCTGAACGACTCGTTGATCTGCGCACATGTTCCACCGTTCAGGCAGGGCTGAGTTCTGCAGTCTTGAGATGACTCTAAAAAAAGAAGAAGAAAGGTTTTTAGAAACACATGTACACAATGCTTTGCTACATGAATACTTTAAACACCGGTAAGCTTGCAGCTTTTTCATGTTTGGGTTTATTTAGCTGCTCTTTTAAATACACATAATCACATGCACATAAATATGCACATTTAAACAACCATAAGTCAATTTTTCTGGCCTTAAACCATAATAGATTGCTGACAGATGTGGTTGTTTATGGTGACGGTCATGCTGCAGATTATTCAGAATACATGCAGTGGTATTTTGCCTCCTTCAGCTGCGACCAATTAGAGAGTTTGAATAGCACCAACTGTTAAAACACTCTCCCGTTTTGAGAAACAAGAACTCCCTGCCTCAAGTGAATCAACAAATTTCACTTGTCTAATGATAATCTTTATAGAGCTTTATTGAAAGATTACCTACCAGATTTACTCTTTGGCGCTTCTTGAGGAATTTCCAGAGCTAGACTGATCTTATTGGTGGTTTCTTCCATCTTTTCTAATTTGATTGGAGCATCAGGCTCTGTTTAAGAAACAATAAGAAAGAAGAAAATCAAGTTGAATAAAACCGAGGTTTAAAAAAAAAAACATATATAAAAGCAGCTCTATATTTTTATGTATTTATAAGAGAAAATGTTAAGCCTGATATTGTAAAAACATGCTGTTGCTTTATTTATTTATTTAAAGAAATTGCTTTTATATTGTAGTACATTGGAGACTACTTAATATTACTTAAAATAATTACTTTGTAATGTTAACATTTTGTATGTCAACAGTGTATTTTTTCTACTCTTTATAAGAGTAGATAACTATAGATTACAAACATGAAGAGAAATATTCAAATTATTTGTATTCATTTATTTAGTGCTTTCATAATTTATATCACTCCAAAGAAATTTTACAGAATACATTGACTTACAATACCAAGCTAAATGCAACAATGGTCATGAGAACTCAGTAGAAAGATAAAGCAAAAACACAAACTATTTCTGAACGTACGGCGCTAGGAATGAGTAATAAACATTCATACGTATTTTTCATAAATCTATACGCACAATTGGTTTTTATTTCTTACCATTAAAAACTAATAAAAAAAAAATAATCTAAGGAGTTCTAACATTATAGAGAAGAATGAAAGTAATAATGGAACAAATAAAAAGTAATAAAAATACTAGTAATAAAATGTAAAATAGTAAAATTGGGTAATTGGGATAAAAGTGACTGTGTTTATTAATATCTCAGTTAAAATGTTAACTTCGACAACCTATAAAAACATTTAGTAAAAATTTAAGAATGAATGAGAATGTTTTCTCTTATTTCCTCGTTTGAAAACCTCTTGAATAAAACATAAATGTATTCATTTAGCAATATGGGTCCCACCGCATTTACGAACATTGAAATGATTCATTTGATACAATGCACTCATTGTGTATAAATGCTTCTATATTGTACTTATATTTTTAAAAGTACCTGCATGTAATAACAGCGGTAGTTACTTGTAATTGCATCTATAATTACACTGTCGACTATTATCTTACACCCCAACCCACCCTTAAACCAACCCATACCAAACCTGTGCCTAACTTTACCCTTATCAAACCTCAATACCAAAGTGTTTTGCAATACAACATGAGCAAAATAAGTACATTTTACTTTTTGTATGCAAGTAGTAGTTAAGAAATATTAATATAAAGTGGGAACCAGATATATATTTATAAAAAAAATCTATTTAAAACAACATAACTTAAAATTTAGTTTAAAAAAACACTGCGTTACAACAAGTTAAACAATCTTATATGAAATCATTACTGACTTGTGCGATGTCTGATAGTTTTACGAGGAAGTTGGGTAAATTTAGCTGTAATTTTCCCTCTTCCATCAATAAGCTCTGTATATCTGAAAGAGAAAATAAAAACAGAAAACGAATTATTATACGAATGGCTTCCCATAATTGCATCCATTACTGTGTTGCATGTGTAAAGCACTTTACCTTAGTGGTTCTTCAAGGAGTTCTGTTTGCTCATCTGTGCCTCCATCTTGAACTTGTGTCAAGGTCTGTCCCATCTGCTGGTCCTGTCCTCCCTGAGGTCTGTCCCCTCTGCTTTGGTCCTTTAGAATTGGTACTGGGCAATACAGGACACACAGACGAGTCACCATGATGACGACATTTTTACAATCTGCAGACAAGCAATATTGG